CAATCCGAATCCAATATTAAACTCACGATTTCTCCCTCCAACCTCCTCTCTTCCAGTCTTAGGAGACTCTCCGCCTTCAGTCAGGGCAAATTGATTTGCGAGATTGATGGGCTGGTGCTAGGGGGTGTGCAGTTTGGGGTGCTGGTGTAGTTGCTGATTGGGGTGCTGTTCGAGGTGCTGATGGCAGTGCGGGCGCATCTTTTCAAGATTGACGGTAGGGTGCTAGGGGGCATGCAGTTTGGGGTGCTTGTGCAGGTGCTGTTTTTGGGGGTGATGGTGCGATCGCATTTTTGCATCTTGACGGTAGGACGCAGGGGGGGAATGCAGTTTGGGGTGCCGGTGCTGATGGTGCTGTGGGACGCAGTTTGGGGGGAGCTGTTTGAGGTGCTGGTGACGGTGCGGGTGCATTTTTTGCGATAGTGACGCTCGGGTGCTACCGGGCATGCAGGTGACGGTGCAGGCGCATGTTTGCATCTTGACGGTTGGGCGCAAGGGGGCGTGCAGTGGTTTGCCGCAAGATTGCTCTGGGGGTGCTGTTTGGGGTGCTTTTCAGGGTGATGGTGCGGGCGCATGTTGGCTCGATTGACGGCCGGATTTTGCTTGGGGTGTTCTTCGGGGGGGGTGCTTTTGTAGGTGCTGGTGTGCAAGCACTGTTATTTGGGGTCTATGCTGGGGTAATTGTTTGTTGGGGGGGGGGGCGGGTTATTATTTGGGGAGCGGATTGCTTTCCTTTTGGGCAACCTCTTGGTCCGTTTCCTTTTTTTTGGGGGGGGGGTTGGAAAGAGGACGCCTCATCGCGAGGGAACTCTCCATCTCTCGAACAAAAAGCCAGCCAAGGCTTTGGACCTGCGTCGCTGAGGACGGCCAAGAGGACAAATACGACGCCCTCTGCTGCAAAGATCCGAATCCCTTGCAGGGCCTTTGGCCCACCTCCATGGGAGATCCATATGTCCAAGAGGACAGGTTGGGGGCGTTGGAATCTTGAAACTGCTTGCTATGCTCTTAGAATGGTGCCTTCCCCATTCTTTGCGATCCTTCTTTCTGGAAAACCTCCGGAAACCCAAGGAAAACGGCCGGAGTTTGGAAAGAGCGATGGTCGAAAAGAATGGACAAGGAATCAACCCCTTGAAGCGGCTGCGTGCTGTCCCTTTGAAGCGGCTCAGCCAGTTGCCTGGGCAAGGTATGGAGCTTCTCCCCTGCGATGAAAGCATGACTTCCATTTGTTTAAGATGTGTTTGTGTATTCGTCTGGTTGGCGTTTAAAAGGAATTGACCACTACTGGAAATGTTTTTTGTTTTTTTACTTTTTCCAGGGGGCTCAAGCAAATGGAAGATGATGAGGCCCCAAACAATTTATGATCTGGAGGACATCGTGGATTGCAACAACAAGGCCTTGACCCTGGACGGGGGCTGCGAAGAGTTCAACAAGCGGCTGCACCTCTGCGGGGGCCAGCTGGAGAACCGGAGCGGGTATTTGGTGCACTGCGTGGTTGACACCAGCACCAACACCTGCAGGCCCAGCATCTCAGCTGTGCAGAGGCAACTCTTTTCACATGATTTCACCTTCTGGGCTTGGGCTCTTTTTCTTTTTTTTTTTTGTAGGCCCGTTCTCAACTGACGAGTTAATTACCCTTCCTCTCACGTTGCCTTGGCAACTGACACGGGGTCCATTGAGAAGGACATCTATCTTCCAGGTACCTTCCCACAGATGCTACGTTGGTTGGAGAAAGGGTAAGTGATGTTCAGACTTTGAACTTTTCTTGCCTGCTCTGCAATCATCCAGTTAGCTTCTCATTGTTCGACCTGCTTTCTGGCCGGGTTTCGCCGACTTTCAAACTTCCCAACCAGAGAAGGACGGCTTTTTGCCCAAAGACTGGGCTGTTCAAAGTTACTCCCAATCCTTGGGATAGCCTTGGCTAGATTGGCCTGGCAGCCCAGGACCATTCTAGGTCCCCCAGTAGTCCCCTTTTACCTTTTTTTTGGGGAGGGTTCCCCAGACTACAGAAAAAAGGGTACCTTTATCCTAACCTCTCTACTAGAGGACCTAGCATTAGGACTCAGAGGTCCCCTTAAAATCCCTGTTACCGTTCCGCGGCTTCCAACCCAAGTTGAAACTGCACGCCGAGGCAAGGTCCAGTGCCTGCCGGAGAGCTGCAGCCGCGCCTGCCGGGGAGTTCGCTAGTCCACCCGACAAGCCCGTGCTGTCCTACTTGGGATGGGTGTCCGTTCAAAAACCACCAGCCTCACTTCTGCTTGGTTGTTTGCCCGAAAGGGCGAAGCGCCAAAAGCCAAGATGGCCTACAAAAGCCTTGAAAGGCAATAGGGCGCGTGCAAAGAAATGCGCAGGCAAAGAGCCGGCACAGAGAGACACTGCGCTTCCATGGCAAAACAGGCAGAAGGCGCCAAAACCGCTGGTCCTGCCGCATTGGAACCAATGTGTTTTGTTGGACTTGTTTTCCCCTGCTGCGACCAGCATCAAGACGACTTGCTTGACCTCTCGAGCAAAACTGTTGGCAAGCATTTCCTTGACTGCTAGTGGGTTGGATCTTTAGACTGTATGGGAAATCAAGGGGTTTTCCACTAAACCCCCCAAAAAGTTAAACTTTTTGCAGGGGGGTCAACAGCAACCAAGTTTCAGTGACCCCTCTGAACGATTCAGCTTCGGCTGCGTGGGTCAGTGGGCAGCCATGCGGCCTCCCAGAAGGTTTTCAGCACCCTTCTAAGACCTTTTCCAAGACACTTCTACGAACCGTTTCTTGTGGCATGCCTCAAGGCGGAAGCGTTTCTCGAAAGGCATGCAATTCCCAGCAACGTGGCAGATTAAATTTGATTGAAGTTCCTGTTTTCAAGGGTTGCTCAGAGGGCACGTAGTTCGGTTTGCACTCTTCCCGCCTCGCCTTTGTAGGGGTTGGCATTCTACCCTCAGTTGATCAACGTCTTGTGGTGAGTGATTGAACCTCCTCTCCGCGGCACGACCCAAGCCCCACAGCGGGGGCTTTCCTTCCCACAAGCTGAGGAAGCGAGTGTGCTGGGACACGCTCCTCACTGGCACCTTGGACCGAACCTATCTCTGGGGTCGGGGCATTCCTAAAGCCAAAACCTGCTGCGTTGGCCACCGCGCCCAGGCAAAGCTTGTCCAATTTCTGGTTGCGGTGCCATTGCTTCAGGAACCCTCCGGCCAGCTGCCGGGCACTCATGACTAATGAGCGGTGCGTTTGCGAAGTGGCGTTCACAATCGTTCAGATTTGTTTGCGCCTTTTCCTTTGGCCAGCAGCATTGATTCAGGTGTCGTTCGCTGTCCTGCAGTGGCGGAAGTTCACACAACGTTTTTTGGTCGGGGTTGCGATTGCATATCACACTGTTCAGGCATGGCTTTCCTCCAAGCCTTCCAGCCCCCTAGTCCATCCTCCAAAAAAAGAGAGACAAAAACAGTGCAACCTCCAAGCCCTCCAGCGCTTTGAAGGCCCTTTCCAGCCAATCCGCCCAGCCTTCTAGCTCTGCGACCTTCCAGCCCAAACCACTACACCTTGCCAACAAGGACATGGTAGCCGCAACCAGCAACAAAAAACAAAGATTTGGTACTTCCCAATTTGTTTCTTCGAGTGGCCTGCGCCTCGCTAAACCAATCGCATCGGCTCCATGATCCCAAATGATCTCAAAAATTAGGTTCCCGCCCTGTAAGGAAGATTGCTCTGGGAAGTGGGCACCTTTTACAGGGTAAGTGCTGTAAGTAGTCCCGAGTTGATCTAAGTCGTCCCGGGTGAGTGTGCCCGTTGTGGTTCTCTCTTCTCGTGCCGCAGCACTTGAAGTTGTGCCACAAGCGGAAGCAATCTTCATTGGGATGAGGGCACGGTTTATTCGGCGCTCGCGCGCTAGTGGAAAGCCAACCGGAACGAAGAATGAGACGTGCCTCACTGAAGGACAACCACGCCTACACATCTTGCCTGCCGTTGATGAGCTTGTACGTAGCCACACGTAGCTAATGGAGAGTGGGTTTCCCGCAGGTGGTTTGGATGATTTGATGCGAAGCAAGAACGAGATCGACTGTTCCCCCTTGTAAATTGCCGTTTCACACGGAACCGGCAAAGGGGACGATGCCCAAAAGGAGCTTCCTCGACCAATGGAAGTTTAAGTCTTGTGGGTCCATGTTGATATCGGGTGCCTTCTCACAATGGCCAACCAACCCAAATGTCGAACAAACAGCACCAGTCAAGTGCGACAGAGCCGCGGGGGTGGACATTTCAAGTATTTTAAACACATAAAACCTACAGTGTGGGAAAAGAGCACCCTTCTTTTTCCCTTCTCTCACTCTCTTTCTTCGCCGTCTCTTTCTTCTTCTCTTGTTCTTTCCATTTCTCGAGCTCTCTCTCTCTCTCTCTCTCTCTGTGCTTGCTTCTTTTCATTCTATGTTTTTTCTCTTCTTTTTTCTCTTTTTTGTTGTTTCTCTTTCTCTTTCTCTATCTGCCTGCCTTTCAAAAGCGGACTTTACCTTAACGTATGTCAAATGTCTACATTTCCCCACGTCTATGACCAAGCCCACTCACTCGAACAAGCCAATTTGAACAATCAAGCTCTTTCCAAGCCGAACTTTGCTTGACAATCTTTCTACATTTCTCTATGTTCATCTATTGAATGGTTTGCATATGTACTTTGGGAATTGCAGTGCAAATCGATGTGTCTATTTGTCTATCTGTCTTTCAGGGTACCTCTTCTGGCCAAACATACGGAAACCTCCAAGGTGCCTTCATTTTCAAGCAAGTTGGAGTTCGACTTATGGGTTTCTGGCTAAACTTTCTCTGACCCACTGGTCAGCCAAAAAAAACAGACCAGGGCTGTTCAATTTGAATCCTTAACGCTTGTGCCCATAGGTGTCCTTTTTGGTTGTTTTGGTCGAAAAATAGATGGCCCTGGGGCCCTGGTTTACCTGGTGGCTTGATGATCTACCAGGGCCATCTATTTCCCCTAAAAGGACACCTATGCTTGTGCCAGGTGGGAATGTTTTGCATTGTAGTGTCCCCGCTAAGAATTACGGATTCCGAACAGCCCACTCATTGAAGGCCCTCCCAGAGAAATGCATGCGTTTAGCAACGGGCGAGACGCGACCATGAACACACACACACGCGTACTGCCTCGCGGCCCGTCTCAACAAGTATGTGTATGTTTGTTTGACGTTGTTGACTTTTAGAGGGTGCTTTCCAATTGTTTCCCTCTGTGGATGGTCGGAATCCATTTCGCACCACCTCAGAAGCCCTAGAACTAGAACGATGTTTCCTCTGTAATTACATACCAACAATGGTTTCCCATGGTTTCAAAGTGGTGCGATCTCTGGATTTCGCAATTATTGACAGTATGTTTGGCCGAGGCACCCCAAACACTCTTTCCGCCCGAGGTCTGATCCTCCTAGACGTGCTGATCGTTCCCTTGAGCCTGGCCTGGGACTTTGAGACTACCCCCATCGCCAGCTCTACGGAGCCAGCCGTGCGGGTCCCGGTCGCGTCGCTGCGAGGTGCATGACACATGTCTTCCATTTGCTTAAGAAGATGTTTGTTATTTTCTCTTGTTGGTTTTAAAAGGAATTTATCACTACTGGAAATATTTTGTGTTTTTCCAGGGGTCTTAACCAAATAGAAGATGTGCACACGAGCGTGGTATGAATCTGCATAGCGCCTTAGTGTTGTGTGTAGGCGTTCAAGAACATGTGTAGCTTTCACATTGACATAGATGCTGCACGTAGATGTAAAATATGTCTTCACATAGTATCAGTATGCAAATGTGCGTGTGTTGGTGTGCCACTCTGGCAACTGAACCCTTGTTACACATGGGGAACCTTACCTGCCCCGCTGTATCATGATCATTTTGCTTGAGCACTGGGACCGCCCCAGCCGGAGAATGTCTTCAGCATTTGCCAAAGTGTCGTGCAACATGCTTCGGGATCTTTCCCACACGCTGCCGTTGCCATGTTGCTTCCTCCCCAGCCAAACTCGGCTGCGGGACCAATAGAGGGCGCTAGAAGTGTCCAGCAGTGCGGGTCTTTTCCCAGGCTTGCAATCCAACCGAGGACGTAGTTTTGCAGATCATTGCCTTTGTGCACCTGGTCTGCTGGCCCGTTGACATTCTCCTGAACTTTAACACCGGTTTCTATGCGAAGCTTGGCCTTCCTGATGGGACTAGTTGCTTACCAAGGTAGTTGTTCGTAGACTCTGTCTTGCAAACATAGGGGCATGTAGCTGCTATGTACGCAAGGTGAAAGTATGCCATGGGGGGGTGCCTTGAGAAGCCATTAAGCAGGGTCATGCGACGAGCGCTGAGGTCCCAACGCATGACTTGCGCAGAACTGCAAACCGTTGGATCTCTTTCAGGAACAATACTCAAGCAGTACTTGCTTTAAGTGATCAACTGCAAGAGGAATGATTGGGTTTGATTTCTGGTGGCGGTCCCCGGCCGGCCGGGAGCCCACTTGGATGTGTAGCCATGCTAGCAGCACAAAGCAGGCGATGCCCGCTTGGCTGATACTCTGTACAGGGTTTGTTTGCATCAGGCATTTGTCCAGGTTGTTCGGGCTTCATTCAGATTGCAAGGCCACAGGCTGCAAGCATAACGTTGTATTAAGTATATTGTGCCTGGCCATGGCAGGAATGGCTTCACACAGACGCATCAAACGCTTAATGGGGTGGATGCGGCTGTCTATGTACGCAATCGAGCAACTTTGAGCCACATGTCGGGTTTGCTGTAGAAACCTAGGACTGGCGCTTAAGGGAATTAATGTAAGTAGGACTCGGGAAGTCCTTGGATGGGTAAAGGTTTTCGGGACCGTTGGGGAAGATGTGGAATGACCTAACCAAGCTCCGGGGCACGTTGCAATCCCCATTTTGCTTTGCAAAGTAAGCGTTTGAACAGCCGGTGCTCGGGTCAAAGGGTCGCTCTGACCTGACTCCTGTCCCCAAATCGAACGGATTTACATGGCGATGCATTTTACATCCTTGGCATCTTGCTGGCCACTTGGCAAGGCTATCCAACGAGTTCCTTTTCCAACCGTTCCTAAAGATGTGTTTCCTACAGCTACTTGCGCATGGCCCAGACGAATCTTCCAGAGCGAGCGCGTCCTGAGGAAGGGGCAGTTGGTCCTGCGGCGGCCGGCCATTGCCATGAATTATAGCAAGGGTTGGTTTCTCTTTGACCTGGCCGTGGTGGGCATTGACTGGGCTTTTCGACGCATTGGAGCGTCGTTTTTTGCAGTTTTGCATGTGAGGAGTTATCCGGTGAGTGTTGCAGGGTTCCGGTTGGTCTAGTTGAACAAGAGGCTTCTCCCGGTGTTGAGCGTGCTAAAAAAGAGGTTGTTTTGGTCCAGCATGTTTTTGCTATTGGTCTTGACACAGCCACTGCCTTTGACACGGGCTAAACAGTAGGTTGAAACTGTCCCAAGGAATTGACTGGCGCAGGGGGCGGCTGTCAGATGCAGAGCCGAGAGTCTAGACACAACTGCTTGACATTGCTGCGCAAA